TCAGAAGAAGGTTAGCATATTATTTTACTTACTCTATCTGTATGAGAGGTATGTCATTATCCACTACCTAAGTATATTGATATTTGAAATTATAATTGAGGGGTATATAACGGTCTTACTTCCAAGAAATTACAATTGAACTAAATAGAAAGATTAGTATTTTACTTATAAGCATATTTACACAAGAAGAATTATGCAATGAGAGTGTGATGGTTTGAGAGCTTCTTTTTTTTTTTTTTTAAGGTATTAGTTGGACAGCCACCACCTAGTTTACTTTATCCTATATTCTAGTATACTCAGGATGATAGCACAACCTCAGTCTCGTACACAGTCTCTAGCTAATTTCGGCTTCTTGACGAGCAAGAACAGTAGAACTTAAAATATGTCAAACATTTCCATTTGGATCTCTAATCACACCCCCACATATGGAGGGAAAATTAATATTTATAATGTTATTTATGTCAATTTCGCCTGACATAGAAACATGAGTATATAACTAGTAGGAAAATTGTACCAAAACCTTGGTGGAGCTGGACTGGCCCACATATTTCAGTTCAACAAGTTTTGGAATACAGAGCCCAATTTAGTTTCATAAATTTAACCAGGGATCAATTCATAAAAATAAAATGAGAAAATTTCATAACTAAGAGATTAAATTTCACCCCTTTCAAATTTAAGAGATAAGATTTCAAATTTCAAATTTNAAAGTTTAAAATTTTAAGTTTCAGATTTTTTAAGGTTTAAATTTTCAAATCTCAAAATTTTTAAAATTTTATTTATAAATTAATTAATTAAACATATATTTTATTAATTAAATATATTAAAGTCACAATTCTATATAATTGGTCACAAATTTTATATAATTGGTCACATATTATTAGTTTGTCACAAATCACAAATTTCACATGTCAATAATTATTTTACGGTCACAATTCAAAAAAAATTTACAGGTCACAATTTGTGCATCGATCACAAATAAAAAATTGAAACGTCACAAATTATTATACGGTCATAAATCAGAAATTTTATAGGTCACAAATTATTTTACGATCACAATTCAGAAATTTTATAAGTCACAATTTGTTTATCGGTCACAAATAAAAAAAATTTATACGTCACAACTTATTCATTGGTCACAAATCACAAATAATAAGTCTGACTTAGTAGACAGACACAAATTATCAAATTATCGGTCACAAATTAACAATTTTCAGGTCACATTGTTTTTTTATCATAATTTATCTTTTTCATTTATCACATATTGTTTATTAGTCACAGATTAACCAATTTAATGGTCACAAACGACCAAATAATCTGTGACTACCACCAACTCCCAACCTGTGACCACCACCTCACCACTCCATTCAACAGTACCACTGCCACCGTCGTCGCCAGAATAACCATCACCACCATCTCAAACAAATCAACATGTCGCAGAAAACACCACCACTACCTCGCATCGATCCACCACCACCTCAACGGCCCATCGCCACTAACATCTCAATACTACCACCACCACCAACAAAACCATTGCACACAACCACAGAACAACCACTATCTCATCTCACAGATCTACTTCGCTTCTCGCAGATTCACAGACCACCACCACTACACGAACTTTCCCGACGCTGCCAATCACACCTCCAATCAGTAACCAATCCCACCATAGATCCACCACCATGTTCAAAACGTACCACCACCGTACACCACACCTCAAACAAATCAACACCACTCCAACGTTGCCACCAAAACCACCACCACCATCTCAAACAAATCGGCACATGACAGGACGTCACACCATATCCACCACTACCACCACCTCACCTCACCTCTACAATACAGCCACCAAATTAGGACGCAGAGCATAGACAAACCATCACCACAAACTCTAGATCTACCATCAGCAGCGCCCGATCCACCACCGCCACTAAAACCACCTAAACATCATCACACCATGGAAACCACCATCAACAACAAACAAAAATAACCAAATCTAGCGTGGCTGCCATCCTTCACGCCCAAAATATCTCAAAACCACGGCGACACAACGTCGCTGCGAGCGCGGTGGTTCTGATCGGTGACCCTCGTGCGGTGGCATAACCCCATCTGGTATCTTGCGAGGTTGCGCCATCTGTGGACGTGCTATATCACGATGGTGGTGAGAGGTTGGGATGCCGGCAGAGAGAGAGGAGATGGCTGCCCTGTCTATGGAGGTGGTATCTCGCGAGACTACGCCATCTGTGGAGGTGCTGTATCGCGGCAATGGTGTGAGGCGAGCTGCCAGCGGAGAGGGCGGAGCCAATGAGGATTGGTAGAAAGAGTGAGGAGGAGGAGGAGGAGGAATATTGAAAATGGTTGCTAGGGTTTGGGAGAAATTAATTAGGATTGTGATGAAAATTGTATAATTAATATTTAATTAAACACAAAATATCTGATTTTTGAAAAATGAAACTTGTGATCTGGTTTTTTAATATGGATCTTGAAAAGTAGGGTTTTATGTAATTTTCACAAATAAAATTTCTTTAAACCATATTTTTCAAGTTTAAATTTCATTAATCAAGTACTGTTTATTTTTATTCACTACACCCGCTAAATCCCACTCGTCTCTGTAAGTATTATACTTGCAAACAAATATACTTAAATGGTGATAGATGTTTCTCACCCCTCCTCATCGGCCTTCATCGGTGTCAATCTAGCGTGGACGATCAAACAAAATCTCTGCTTACAACAGATACCCCAATGCTAGTGAGCACTTCGACAATGTCTTCTCCAGTATCAACTCCATTGCCCTCAACTCTAGTGACTTCTCCATCAGCAACAACCAGCATACCTTCCATTATTAGAGGTGATGGCAATTGCCAGATCTTCCATTGGAGGTGACCTCATCTTCTTCACAGGAAGCCGTCATCGATGTAGATCCATTGCACTGCACGTCGCTAATGTCAATGATAAGCAAAGTCGCTACCAGCAAGGAAGATATTATACTAGGTCATAATTAGATAATATAATTGATTACAGTCAGACAATTAGATACATATGTGATCGTGATATGTTTCTAATAAATAATTAGAGCATGTTTGTTTTGGATTAAAATTTAATTTTAATCTAAATTAAAGTCAAACAATCAATATTAACCACACAATCAATATTAACATCTTTCATGGGTCTCACAATTTTTCAACCACACATTTCACAGACTTCTATTACAATCTATTAAAAATCTAATTTCAATCCCCCACAAAACACCATCTTGACCTTAAATGTTTTGATTTGTGATGAGTATGTGGCTATTATAAATTATTGTATTGTATGACTATAACCTATTTTAATTTCAATTTATGGTCACAACATTAATCGGATGACATAATCACATACCACATGACTTTTCAAAGTTTTTACAAACTTTTTTTAATTTTTAAATTCTTAAATTATTGTAGTTACGAAATTCTTTCACCCATGAATACATTAAAAAAGTTTAATTCCTTACTTAATTTTAAATCTTTTTTATTCTCAAAATACTTTATTTTATCATTATTTTAATTTTTTAGAATAAATTTAGTAACACAATATATTACATTTTGAAAAATTATGTTACACATATTTCGCCATCATATTTTCACCTTCGATGATGCTTCAGTCATTACTTGCAACATGGTGTGTTATATACATTTTTGTTTATTCTCACCATCACTGCAATCAAAGATACCACTACTAGTAAAATTCAGTGTTACACCATCATCATCACCCGTCCCACCACTTCTTTACACCACCATTACTACATCCATCAATTGTAACTTTATTGTTACACCACCACCATTTATAACATACTATGTTACATCACCGTTGTAATGACTTGGGTCCTAAGTTCCGAAGCATCACTTAATATATTTCATAAAACGTTTAAACTAATAAAATAAACACGATTTTTTTTTTGGAATATGAATTAAGAAGTGATTTTCCATAGACACCATAAAAGTTTCGACAACTTAAAATAATTAAACAAACATCTCATTAAAATGGAAACCTACATAACACAATATTTTAAAAAAGATTGTCCAAAACTTAACGAGTGAAATTTTTTTGTCCCAATTTTATTATTTTGTTGTTCATAAGAGGAAACAACGGCGATGCTGGTTGGAGGTGGGGGTGGTGATGTGTTTCCGTTTGTATTTGTATGTATTCTTCTCTGTTTAAAAAAAAAAATTAAGTATTTGTAGAATGCCTATCATTATACATTTCTTCAAAAATGTTCCAAGTATTAAAATAATCAAAAGATTCCAAGACAATCAGAATTGAACCATAGTAGTGGGTTCGAGTTGACACTAATTTAATCTTAATTGATTAAAAAAAAGAGAATTTAATCGAAACTTACAAAAAAAAAAATTGTTCTAATTTCATAATTGAATTTTAATTTGATTCCAAAATATTTTTTTGCAATTAATACATGAAAAGAACTAGGCGAACTAAACAAAAATTAGACATGGAACCAATGATTTGTGAATCGATTTGACCTACGTCCTCCACTCTCTCATTCGTTAATAGTATGACAAAATGTTACGATCATATCTTATTCTCAAAAAATCCTGAAGGATGGGAGACGGGAATGGCCACCCAATTGAGAAAAGTGCGACTGTTCAGTCAAATTTTGATGAATCAATGAAAATGACCCTAGATAAAATAAAGTGAGTGTGCGAACACACTCGATAGTTCCTACTCTGGTTGCATAGAAAATTGTCCTATCCAATACATGTAGAAATGTTCTAAGCTTTTAACGACCAGATTCCTTTGCCAAGTTTGTTGAACTTGGTATTCGGTCGAGCCATATAATATAGAAACACCAGGCGAAGCTCCAGTGTTTGTCTTCAACTCTCTGCCGGCCAACAAATTTGTCTCCATCCCCACTTCTCTCTCTCACACACACACTCAACAATGGGTGGAATCGATTCCACTGTTAATATAATCCCCTTCATGCATCCTCATCCTCTCCAGAGTTTTCAACAATGGCTTCTTCTCCTTCTGATTTCAATTCCAATTCGATGATCGGCCTTTGCCTGCTGTTCTACTTCTTCTTCTTCTTCACAGGAGTGCCGGTGGCCGATTCTTCAACAATTGGAGTCGAGTACATTTCGCGTCTTCTTGAAATTCAGGACCGCGAGAGGGCCCCACCTTCTGTCCAAATCGCCGCAGCTTATGGAACCCTCAGTCGCCTCATTCCTTCCCATTCTTCCAGCTTTCAGTTCAATATCATCCCCAAGGTACGCATACATCCCAACTCGAGTGTAAATAGTAAAAGAATTCAAGTATCATTTTTGCTAAATGTAATTCTAGTTTTAAAAAAAAAAGGAGCAAATTTTTGAAACCTCCCTTTTAACATCAATTTTCATTTGATTCATGAAACTTTTTAAAACAATTCTGAAACCTCCCTTTTAGCATAAATTTTCATTTTGTTCCTCCATCTCACGGTGTGTTTGAAGGATATTATTGAGGAGATAATGATTTTTAAATAGCGATATGATGGGAAATATATTGTTAAAAAGTAAGGAAAAATTATTGATCTGATGGAAAATATTATTTTATTGAATAATGTGTGGCTGAAAATGAATTTTGAAATAATGTATTTTGAAATAATGTGTACAAAACAGGCTTATACTTATTTATATGATAATATTTGCTTTTTTTATTATTATTATTTCTCAGTTTTAATTTAGACGAAAATTAATTATTTTAATTTTAAAAGTTTATTTTTATCTTTTTGTATAAGGTTATTTTTAATTATTAATCTTAATTTCTCATTTAATGGACAAACTAAAATTGATCTAATATATTTATAAAAGATGAACTAAAAAGAATCTAATTGTGTGTTTAATTGTATTTATTTTCTACGAAAAATGTCAGTTTTTTTATCCAAATTCTTACCTTGAAAGTTGAAATGTTTGATTGCTATTTTTTTTCGAAAATATGTCTAGATTTCCTTGTTTTTAAGGAAAAGATTTTCTTTGGAAGTAGGTTTTTTTTTCCAGGAGATATTTTTCATATGAATCAAACACACTCTAAGATTAGACATTTGATACAAACATTTTTATTATTATGATATATTATTACCTTAATTTTCTAAACTTAATATAGTATAAATGTAAAGAGTATAAAAAATACAAGTAGCTTTATTAAATTATTCTAATATATTTATTTATATTAATTTGTTAATTATTTTACAAATAATATTTGCAAAAGAAATCATATGTAATAATTTTATTTTTTATGACAATATTTATAATGGTATTAAAGTTTCCATCTAGCTTTATTAAATTATTCTAAATTGTTTTTTAATTATTTGTCAATCGTATTTGAAAAAAAAAATCATATTTAATAATTTATAAAAATCTCATAACGGTATTAAAATTTTCAACTAGATTTTTTTTTGTACTTGAAAAAAAATCTTATCTTATAATAAGATTTATAATGGTATTTTTTTACTATAATAGTTTCATCAAAATGAAAAAATATATCTTATGAAATAAGAAAAGAAAATTATATAGTTTAAATAATAATAATTTCAAAATACAATAAAGGGGTAAATTGGAAAATATATTAATACTTTTAGCTGACAGAAAATCTGTTACAAAAAGTAAACCTCAAGGGAGGTTTCTGAATTGAAAAATGAGGGGGTGTATCTGTTATCGTCATAAACCCACCAAGGCTCATGTTGTTTGCTCAAAAAAGTAACTTTTTAAGTGTAGCAAGGAGTCCGTTGAGTTTAAAGGAAGTCTTGAGTTCTCTAATAAACTCTGTTGTCGAAATGATCTTAAATGTATTGTGCATATAGTGCCATAATGCATTTTCATAACCTATATCAGTTAATTTTAAAAGGTTTTCATTGGGTTGGTTTGATCATCAGAATGACTGAATAATGAGCAACGCGTAGAACTATTAAACTATCCGAAATATTGAATTCCATGTCTAGCTTAATTCTACGCTAGGCTAGTTAAATAGGAAATGCTTGCTTATATGTCATGACATGGTGCATAAACTAGCCCAAAAGCAATAAAAGTAGCAGTATTCCCTATCCTTTGCAAAGTACTCAATCAAGACAGTATGGAAAATCATTTTGAGTTGGTTATTTTTTAAATTCATTTTTTCTGATTTTTTCTTTGATCTCCATTTGAGAATGATATGCATGACATTTTTAATGGAGTTTTTTATTTTTATCTATTGTTTGTCTATATTACCATGGTTATAGAGGTAGCACAAATTTTATATCAACTGGAAGGAAGTTTTTGCTGCAATGAATTGTATTGTCTTGCACTTGTTTCGCATTAAGCAAAAGATATTGCAATTGACATGGCTATCTTCTTATTCCGGTTCTCCCTTTCATCCTTTGTGCAGGAGCATTGTGGTGGAGAGTCTTGTTTTAAATTAACCAATCATCCTTCTGTCAGTGAAGGTGGTTCCCCTGAAATTTTGTATGTACAAGTCCTTGTATTAATGATTGATTCACATGAGCATACTTGAACATTCGAAATTTTACTTGTAATTTTCTTGTTGAAGTGGTAAGGTAGTATCAGGAAATCTGAGGATGGTTAAGATGAAAACTGAATTGCTATATCATTACCCTATTTTTTATTCTGTATTTTGGAACTTAGTTTTCTTTCATTGCATATTGACACAAAATTTTATTATTTATATACAAGTTTTGTGCAGAACCTTTCTAATGTTTATCTTTCACACAGAATAAGTGGAACCACTGGAGTGGAGCTTTTGTCTGGTCTTCACTGGTACCTGAAGTATTGGTGTGGAGCACATGTATCCTGGAGCAAAACAGGTGGTGTGCAGCTCTCTTCAGTACCACAGTCTGGCTCCCTGCCGAAGGTTCAAGATTCAGGGATAGTCATGAAGAGACCTACTCCTTGGAGCTACTATCAGAATGCTGTTACATCTAGCTGTAAGGACCGGATTTTGTTCTTTATTTTCTATGCTCTACTGCTCTAGAAGTATATTGGCTTTACCCTTATATTCCCGCATTCACATTTCAATTCTATGCCTTTAAAGATACATTTGCATGGTGGGACTGGGAAAGATGGGAGAAAGAAATCGACTGGATGGCTCTCCAAGGTATCAATTTGCCATTGGCATTCACTGGACAAGAAGCTATTTGGCAGAAAGTCTTCCAGGTACTCTTTGTAACTCCTTTTATATGCTTTGTAGTATGTTGGATATCTTTTTTTAACAAACATCCCAGGTAACTATAAAAAATTTTGTTGACTGATAGTGCTCAGATTACTCTCATTTGGATGGGCCATATTGTACTTTTCCTTATCTCTTTCTTTCATTATTCTAACTGTTAACTATTATGGATCATTCTTGAGCAGAATTTCAATATAACAGCTGCAGATTTGAATAATTTCTTTGGAGGTCCAGCATTTCTGGCATGGTCACGCATGGGAAATATGCATGGGTAAGCTTGTAGAGCTTAAACTAGTCCTATATTTATTGCTAGAGCATTCCCGATGACTGCTTTCTTGATCCCGGTCTGCTAATCAATTTAGGCATACACAATTTTAAACATCTTGGTGTATTCTGCAGATAGTTTTTATCCAGGTTCATAAGTCCTCCATTTGATTGCACTGTCATTTAATGCATCAGTTAAGATGCCATAAAATATGAAATCTTAGCAGGAGATTGCACTTGAGCTTTCTGAAAAAGATTACTTTTGTTTGTTTTTCGAGCACCAAAGGAAGATCCTCATTATCTCTTTTTTTGTTCCTTTTTTCATTTTCCGCTTTAAGGTCCTGCCTATACAATATGCAGGACTTCCTTAACATGGATACCCTTGATTTTATTATTACGAATTTAAGTTAATAATATTTCTGAACTTTACTACAGTATAAACCCATATCATTTATCTGCATGGTCTACTAAAGTTGTTGCTGTCAACTCTGTTCGTTGCTTATTTTGCCAAATAACTTCAAAAACGTGAGGCATCCGTTATGTTGGATGAAAACTAATGTTCCTCCTCATATAGCTCCATTGAATAACTTCAATGTTTACCATGTTTGGATTCATTTTGCTAGGTATATATCAGTTATCCTCGTAGAACTAATAATTCAATCACAGGTGGGGTGGGCCATTGCCACAGAGTTGGTTAGATCAGCAACTGATCCTGCAGAAGAAAATACTTGCTAGAATGCATGAACTGGGAATGAATCCGGGTACAAATCTTTCTTGGATGCATTCTAGACGATTCTGATGAAAAATATAAATTCTATCTTGGATGCATACTAGAGTCTAGACAATCTTGCTATCAAAATCCTATCTTACAAGCGATGTCCTCACGTAATGAGGTTGTGAAGTTTGAAAGGAATCAGTAATTTCCATATAAAAGATCAATCGATTGTATTACAACCAGTCAACAGTTTCAAATTCAGTCTGAGAAAATATGAGAAGCCTTCATAGATAAATTTTGGATTCTCTCTCACATCCAATTGGTTTCACTAAATGACATCCCTGAGTTCCTAATTATTGTGCCACACACATTAGACAAATGAAAACTTTCACAAAGAAAATTCTGAAAAACAGAAAAAAATCTGAATTAGAAACACCACCTTATAGGAATTGTACTCTTTAACTTTGTTTTGACAGTATTACTTTTTTGACTTCTTTTTATTGTATTTTATTTATTTACTTTTTTTTTTCAATTTTTTGTGTGTTTCAGTCCTTCCAGCCTTTTCTGGTAATGTTCCAGCAGCTCTAAAGCTTGTTTATCCATCAGCAAAGATAACACATCTAGGAAACTGGTAATATTGTAGCAGTTATTTTACTAACATTACTGTCATTTCTTTCTGCATAATTTTAGTTCCTCACCTATACCTGCTGTTCTGGCAATGCATGACTTTTATTATGATTGTGTGTCTTTCTCCTAAGAAATTTAAAAAAAAAGAAAAGAAAAAGGACATTATGAAGTGAAAAACTAGTTCTATGAGATTTTATAGATTTATAGCTTGAGTAGTTTTTGTGGAAAATTGTTCAAAAATATCCATATTTGCTGTAGAGCTGGTCTATCATGGTTACAATAAAATGATTTTCTGGATCCCAGTATCCGAGCAAAAAACTTTGCAGCAATTCACTGAAGTGATCTTGTTTTGGGGACCTTTAGGTTCACCGTTTGGAGTGACCCTAGGTGGTGCTGCACCTACCTTCTTGATGCAACTGATCCCCTGTTCATTGAAATTGGGAGAACATTTATTAGGCAACAATTGACAGGTGTGCAAGTAAATTCTCTCATTATCACTGTGCATATGTATTAGTATTACGTTATTAATCTATAATTTTACTTGTTTTCAAAAAGTTTTATACTGCTCCTGAAATTCCTATATACCTCTCTATTCAGAATATGGAAGGACTAGCCACATATATAACTGGTAAGCCCACCTATATTACTGTTTAGCTTTACTTCATGTTCTTGAAATACCATTTGGCTTAGTTCCATACTGGTCCAAACTTGTTTGTTTTTCTCTTTTACAAGTACTTTGATTTAAAATTTTACGAACAACATCAAGTTAAAATTGCTGCTTTACCAAGGTATTTATGTGTTAAGCAGATAAGTTTCTCCAGGTCAATCATATATATCAGCAGTTTGATCCTTATGTAGTGCGACTATGTCTACATATGCCATGTTTTGGGTACCTTTGATAACTGAGCAAGTCCATAACTTTCTGTTATTTTATCTTTCAGAAGGCCAACGTTGACCTTTTCATTCACTTAAGTTTGGCATTGTAACAAGCCTATGTTTGGCTCATGTAAACTATTTATAAACATTTCCAAACATGCTTTAATTTTGAGGATTGTTTCTGGCCAACCCTTCTCCCCACCCCCATCTATCTCGAATTTTAACCTGACAACTTTTACAAGCCTTGAAATACACTGATGTGAACATGGCCTCACATTCTCTTCCAGTATTATTGTATACTTTCAGTATCATATTTTCATCGGATCTTGGCCAGAACCAACATGTTACATTAACTTACTAAAACTTCCTTGTTGTTCAATATAATTAAAGTGCAAAGGCTCTCGTATTCTATGTTTTCCCAGTGATACTTTTGACGAGAACACACCCCCAGTAGATGACCCAGAATACATCTCTTCGTTAGCTGCTGCAATATTTAGTGGCATGGAAAGCGGCGATATGGATGCTATTTGGCTAATGCAGGTGATATTTTCGCATCTTATCACTTTGATTTTTCTTCCAATCAAAGTTATCCTGTCTTACCTGATGAGAAACTTGATAGTGATGAAGATTGTGCTGATCCCTGAAGTTCATTATTTATGCTTCTATCTACGTATTCAATTAAGATAAAATTTTAACATGCTTAGACTGTTATTTGCAAGCATGGGAATCTATTTCTATTTGACACGTCATGCCATTTATGCATACTGTTCCAGGTCCTGATATCTTTATTTGGTTTTCTTTCTAGGTTCCGCTTTAGTTTTTTGTACCCTTATGATTTTTCATTCACATTTGAATAAATGCCTTTATGTTTCGTAGGGATGGCTTTTTACTGATGACCCCTTTTGGAAGCCTCCACAAATGAAGGTTATGTTTCATCATTTGAATTGATTCTTTTGATGTCCATCTAACATAAGTTGTCCAGTCACTATCTCGATTGTATTGATATTACACGTGGAAATTCTTGAATATTTACACATGCAAACTACATTTAGCTATATGTTCATGTATTTTCTAAAATTTTATGTAGCGTGGAATAAATTAAGAGAGTGTAAAACATTACACCCCTGTTTGAGCACCATTTGAGAATATATTTTGTAAAAGTTATTTTTTTAGAATGTGTTATTAAAAAGTAAGGAAATTTTTTGGATTTACGTGCAAAATTATTTTATTGGAAGAACGTGTGATCGAAAATGAGCCCGGAGGAGTTTTAGAAAATGGGGCTCAAACAGGAGCTACATCATATATTGAAATTTAAACAAAAATAGTTGAAGTCTTCATGATGCAAAACCAATATACATGAAGCCTTCAACATGAGAACGCCGTGAGCACAGGAAATATTTCAAGTGCCATGCTTGACCACATAATTTATTGCCCTAAGGGTGTTCAAAATACATCCAATAAATATATTGGAATATTTAGTATATTCATTTTTCAGTTTTGTTTGTTATCTAAAGAGATTGTGAAGGTGTTGGAAACTTTAAGAGGACAGAGCAACTAATTAAAAGTTTCATGCAACATTTAGGCTTCTCTATAAATCTCTCCTATTTTCAGGCACTCTTACATTCTGTTCCTGTTGGGAAACTGGTTGTCCTTGATCTATATGCTGAGGTTAAACCTGTTTGGATTACTTCAGAACAATTCTATGGTGTTCCTTACATCTGGTAACCCCTACTATTTTCATTTTGTGTGTGTGACATATATGCAGAGCTTTTAATGAGATTTAATTGAACATATGAGCACTTGATCTTTCAATTTCTCATGCATTTATGGTTCCAGGCATTTGAGCATATATATATATATATATTCCTTATTATGAATATTGAGAAAATCGCATAAAATTGGCACAGAATTATTTTATTTGTTAGATTATAGATATTAAAGAGTGCAAAATGTGCATAGCTTTCTTGTGTGTAATTTATGTAACTAGAAAATAAGATACATGCAAGCATGTTTTGTATTATTCTTCATCTTTTTTCCCATCGATGTCACACTTGAATTTATCATGTATTAAGGTGTATGTTGCACAACTTTGCCGGAAACATCGAGATGTATGGAATTTTAGATGCTGTAGGATCTGGACCCATAGATGCTCGTCTTAGTAAAAACTCCACCATGGTAAGTCTATTTGATCAAATCTGATTTTGATCTCCTTTACATATAAATTTTTCCTTATTCTCAGAATGACAATACATATATCAGCCTCAAGTAGTACTCTAACCATTTAAACAGTGTCTGTGCATGGCCATTTCGCTGAAATACTTGCCTTGCTTCAGTTGCTTCTGAGTTATTTATAAATTCTACATAGTGTCTCTTTCTCTAAAATTAGATTTTTTGTTGTTAATTAACCTATCTGAATCAATTCGATTTTTCAGCTGTATCTCGTGTTCGCCGAGGCATAGTTTTATGTGCATCAGATTTTGATCAAAACTTTATCATACAAATAGTATCCCAAAAACTTTGGCCTTATATTTGTCTATTTCACGTATCCTGGGTAAAAACATTGTTCCATTTCAGATTTTATACTGCATTGACTTGCTGTAATCTCACACACTCAGTTTAAGGCAAGAAATTTTCTCAGAACTGTGTTCTTTGCTCAACGACATGCGATATTTACTCATCTTTACTTAAAATTGTTCTATTTTCTGTCTTACTCATCTCTCTTAATTTTATTTCCCCAAGGTTGGTGTTGGGATGTCAATGGAAGGTATTGAACAGAATCCTGTTGTTTACGATCTCATGTCAGAAATGGCATTTCGACATAATAGAGTTGACATTAAGGTAAACCAATGCATGCTATACACATACGTTATATTAAAAGTAGAGCTTAAAGTCGGTCCCAAAATTTTTATATATTCAGTTGAAATTATGAGGGGTTTCTGAAGTTAGTTGCATAATTGTTTAACGATCACTAGCACACTCATCTGTGAGCCGCATTTCTATATCTTCAAAATGTAACTAGAATTTTTCCTCTTAGACATGGATAGATCTATATGCCAAGAGACGCTACGGAAGATCTGTTTCATCTGTACTAGATGCCTGGAATATACTGTATCATACAGTTTATAATTGCACAGATGGTTTAAATGTAAGCCATAACTTGTTGCTTTTGTAGTTCTTCACTAGTGCATCTTGTCTCACTATGTTAATGCTTGCCTTTATGCTCAAATTTATGTTACGTTTTTTTTTTGACATGTTTATAATTTTAACAGGACAAGAATAGAGATGTTATTGTGGCTTTCCCAGATGCTGATCCGTTTTCAATTGCATTACCTTCGTTTTCACTAAATGGAAGATATCACCATGATAATTACCCATCTCCCGGGAGAGCTATTTATGAACTTGGTGATTCCTATAATCATCCTCATCTCTGGTATTCAACTTCAGAATTGATATGTGCTCTAGAACTTTTTATTGCAAGCGGGGATCAACTCTCAGAAAGGAGCACTTACAGGTTCATATATTTCATTTTAGATCAATGAAGAATGACATTGAATGTTATGTTCTGTGTTTATTTAATCTTAAATCACTTCTATAGAAGATTAAAGATGGAGATTATTGTGAGACTCACCATGTCAAGTGAGATCAATCCTGGAAAAAGAAGCTAAAATCTTGTTTATTATCTTGTCCACTAGTGCGTTCCAAACATGGACATATGGTGCATCTCACGCTGATCTCCATATTTACTCGTCCATAACTTCGCCATTATATTTTCCTCCTCATATGGTTGCGGAATTCTATATTGTCATCTCAGGTACGACCTTGTTGACCTGACAAGACAAGCTTTAGCAAAGTATGCAAATCAACTTTTCTTGAAGGTTATCGAAGCATATCAGCTGGGTGATCTCCCTGCAGTTTCTCTGCTGAGCCAGAGATTTCTCAATCTCGTGGAAGATATGGACACACTTCTAGCATGCCACGATGGATTTCTTTTAGGACCTTGGATCGAGAGTGCAAAGAAACTAGCACAAAATGAAGAACAGGAAAAACAGGTATGCATTCTTTCCAAATGAAGGAAAAACAGGTATGCATTCTTCAACCAGGACATCACCTGAATTAGTGAAAAATATGCAGTTTGAATGGAACGCAAGAACCCAAATTACAATGTGGTTTGACAACACAGAAGAGGAAGCTAGTCTGCTTCGTGACTACGGTATGTGGAGAACCCGTACTAGTAATTTACATAGATCAGTAGCCATAATGCTAAAAGTTGTGTTCATTTAGTATCTGATTCTTCAAGGTTTTAAAACATAGAATTCTCTGAACAAGGTTTAATAATATACTGAGATCCTCGGTCTTTTACCTTCATTCTAGGAAACAAGTACTGGAGCGGGCTTCTACGAGATTACTATGGCCCCCGTGCAGCAGTTTATTTCAAGTTTCTAATACAAAGTTTAAAAAAGGGAGACGATTTTCGCTTGAAAGAATGGAGAAAGGAATGGATCAAACTTACAAACGATTGGCAGAGTAGTAGGAATGTTTTCGCCGTAAAAGGCAAGGGCAATGCCCTCAACATATCACGGTGGCTATTCGAGAAGTACTTGAAAGATTCGACTCATTCGATCAGTCTAGTCCAGGATACTTGAAAGAGTTTGTGAACTTTTCCCCCCAAAAAGTCTTTTTAAAGAGCATGATCCAGTACCTAGCATTTGTCTTGCCTCGAGTCACTCTCTATGATAATGATATTCCCTAAATGAACTCTCTGCAAGAGATTAATCTTTGTGACAATGTTGCCCCTGATTTTCATTCTATAGTACATTTTTTTTAGCTCACAATAACACTCGATTTATCCAATAAATTTATAAATTGTTTATAAAAATTAACATGGATACAGAGATATTCTCTAGTATAATAGAGACGACTGAAGAGCATGAAATTGTTATGTTTAAGCCAATTAATGGATTGGGGAGTCTCCAATAAATTTAGTGCTAAAAAAAAAAAAAAAAATTGGAAAGTCTCTAATAAATTTAGTGCCTTTAAAAAAAAAAAAAAAAAAAGTTGACCACGCTCAATAATGCTTAAAGTTTGCACCCCCACCCCCCCACCCCCCCCCCGCCAACATTGCACTCGCTGACGATAGCTCTTCCACTTCACTTGACATGGGTTAATTTCTCTGTTTTTTCAGAGTACTTGTTGCACTTTGCCATGTCCAAGAACGTGAGGAATTTGAAAAAGAAAAAAAAAGGATACACTGACATTTTCAAAAAGTGCACCGACATGCCGGCTCTAGCAACATATCGATGCAACAAAGTGCACCACCTCACCAGTCTAAGAGCTTATTCCACTATAAAATTTAGGCTCACTAAACGTCCAATTATTTGTTATCAGGAAATTATACCATACATACATATAAAGTATCATCTAAGTTTTCCTTTATCTTTTGTTTTATCGGCACCTCCTCAATGGTTGTCTTCCAAGTGTATTGGATCTTGTTCTTACCACGAATCATTTTCCTTAGTTAATATCTTTGATATGACCTGCATCGGTTGAATACCCCTTCGTCCCATGCTCTCTCTTCCTGTTTGTGTGACTACAGGATTGCATGTCATGTTATAGCACATATTCTTCAATAGCTATCCCCAGCCGGTCCAGCCCCTGCAAACAGATGGGATTTTTAGGGGTCAGAGGTAGAAAGAGACATGAAGCGAAGAATATTTACAACATATATCCAAACCCCAAATGTTTTGCCTCACATCCCACTCCCTCAAATTAAGGCAATGCCGGTGGCATCCTATTTCATGACCGATAGTTATGTTAAGCATAAAAGAATTTATACTCTTGTACATGTTGACAGCATCTAAAGTATCAAATCCTGAAAGATAGCAAGAGAATCAAAAATAATTGTCACCATATAAAATAAAATAAAATAACATAAAATTCAATACATTTCATATGTAACCAAAGGTACTATATTGATTTGGAATCGCATCAATCTATATTGATTGACCGCCTGCATTACGTTGTTGCTAGCAAATACCACTCTTTTTGGTTTTGCCCAAAGTAATCGCTGAAAAGGATTGACATGTATCATCTATTCCAAGGCATGTTCCACTGTAAAATACCTAAGCCTTGTATTTACAACTTCCTGCTACATCAAAGATAATGAAGTTTATGAGTAATATACGAAACAGATTCTACACTCGTGTTTTCTTTTGGTAAACAATCCAATCCATGTTGAACCATAAAACTAGTGCCGTTAAAGAATTCTATATTCATCCATCTCTGCATCTGTTGAAGAACTAAGTTACCCCTCCATGTATATTCTCTTGAACCATACTAAAAATTAGATTAACAGGATGCACCCAGTAGCTACATATTTAAAGCAGTTTGCAAGAATATAGAACTAGTCTGCTATATATTTTTCAAACCGATTGGTGTACAAGATCATGGCGTGAGATTCGGAATTTTTATTACAGAAGACGGGAGAAAAGATGAAGTGAACTAAGAAAAAATATCAAATACATTAATCAAGTAAAGTATATTGATGCAATGATAGAAAAATCACAAGATAGACATTTAACCCTTGTCTGATCCCCTTTTTTTTCAAGATACATTTTTCTCCCTTTTTTCAACCACACATTCTTCAATAAAATAATACTACACGCAACCCAAAAACATTTTCTTCATTTTTAACTTCACATTTTTTATCAATCTATTATTTTAAAATGCATTCTATACCAAAAATGAGGCTCAGATAGACCCTTAATATATCACAAGGTAAATAAGGCCATGGTAACTAAGAGGCTTACATAGTAAG